AAAAAAAAAAAAAAATAAAAAAATAAGTAAGCTTATATTTGCTTCATTTCGTATTTTTTTGCCAGTTGCTAATCAAAAGGTGACTGCACACATAATTTTGTTCAATATTGCTAACTTCTTCTCCATTAGGGTTATATTATTTGCAATAATCTTTTAACTGTTTCCCTTCTTCCACTCTTGTCTACCTATACCCATTCTCCCTCATATCTTATAAAATCCTATAGAAATCTAATTGAATCATATTACTCTCTTAAGTGGCTTCCCATTGCATTTAGAATAAAATCCAGTCTCTTCACACCCTAAAAACATAGATGATGTAGCTCCTGCCTCCGTATAAAGTTAGGATTAGGTTTGACTATGACCAAGTAAGACCCAAAATGACAATAGCTAAAACAGGATAGACGTGTGTTTCTCTGACAAGTAAGTCTAGAGGAAGACTGTCTCTGGAGTTTACCTTCAAGAAAACCTCAGGGCACAAGCTCCTCCCAAGCCATGCTCTGTCATCCCTAGGACTTGCTCCTCATCCCCATGACCTAAGAGAATAGCTATAGTACTAGTCATAATATCAATATTCCAGGCAGCAAAGTTGGAAGAAGGGAAAAGTAAGAAAAGGAGTAAGGGGGACATGCCAGCTGTTTTTCATAATAGGTAAGATTCCTGGAAGCTCTACTTCAATTTGTATCCCATGGATCAGAACTTATTCATATGACTATACCTACCTACAAGGAAGGCTGGAAAATATCATCTTTATTCTGGCCAGCTAGGTGCCCTCGCCAAAAACTGGGAGATATTATGCCATGGAAGAAGACTTTGCTGCACAGCCTATCAGTTTCATCTCATACTATGCCATACACCCTTACTCACTATGCTCTGGCCAGAAAACTTCCTTTGTTCCTCAGAACAGCCAAACTCTTACCTGTCTCAAGGTTTCTCCTGCCTAGCACACTGTTCTTCAGATCTTCACATGGCTAGTTCCATCTCATCATTCAGGACTCACTTCAAAGGTCACTTCCTCAGACAGACCTTCTTTGACTACTGTATGGAAGTAGTTATACTGCATATGCCTTTCATACTGCACTGCCTTACTTTCTTCATAGCATTTGTCTCCATCTGAAATTACTTACCTTTTGCCTTACTTCACTAGAATATAATTTCCTCAGAACAGAAACCTTTCTTTCATTTCTTCACTGCTGTATTCCTATTACCCAATACAATTCTAAGCACATGGTAGGAGTTTAGTATTAGTTGAATGGATGAATGTCTGACTCCAAAGCCCATGCTTTCCCCATTACCTCTGCTGCTCCTAGTATATCTGAAATAATATCCCCTTCCAGTAATCTTTTTTTTTTTTAGAATGACAGCCTATTAAAGTTATTTTCATTCAAGATTTTTTATTTATTTTTTTTTTGAGACGGAGTTTGGCTCTTGTTACCCAGGCTGGAGTGCAATGGCGCGATCTCGGCTCACCGCAACCTCCGCCTCCTGGGTTCAGGCAATTCTCCTGCCTCAACCTCCTCAGTAGCTGGGATTACAGGCACGCGCCACCATGCCCAGCTAATGTTTTGTATTTTTAGTAGAGACGGGGTTTCACCATGTTGACCAGGATGGTCTCGATCTCTTGACCTCGTGATCCACCCGCCTCGGCCTCCCAAAGTGCTGGGATTACAGGCTTGAGCCACTGCGCCCGGCCAAGATTTTTTTAAAAATTGTTTCTAAAGTAAAAGAAAATCTTATGCTCAGTAAGTAAAAAGAGGAGATTTAGATAAAACATCATGGGCAAGTATCTTAAGTTGCTCGATCTCAGAGTTTTCATCTGTAAAAAGAAAGAATTGATTAAAACTGATTTAATCTACAGATATTTACCAAGCATTATGCTAAACTAGGACATGAAGGTTAAATAATCCCTGACCTCAAAAGAGGCTCACAGGTAGCTTTCAACTCTGTAATTCGTATGATTCTATGTTACTGTTAGTCTGTACCCTCTGTGTTAACAGAAAAAGCCTACCAATTTCCATTACTGAGATATTAATTAAAAGATGTAATCGAGACATTGATAAGCACATTACTTCATTTTAAAATAAACATTTAATTCAACATTGCAACAGGAGTTGAACTGTATTTAAAACGGAGGCATATTCATGGCTAAAACAATGTGTATATTAATCTTTAGTTCCCTTTTGAGGATATTTTGATTGCCAGTTCTCTGCAGGGAAATGGCTAGGAAAATGTCTTTAGAAGACAGTTCTTTCTGAATGCAAGTCTAAAATGCTTTTTAAAGATTTTTAAAGACCCAAATCAGAAATATCCATTAGATATATCTCATTTGAATCCTAAGCGTTTAAACATAATAAACACTGTATTTATTTATTTTTTTATTTTTTGAGGCAGAATCTCACTCTGTTGTCCAGGCAGAAGTGCAGTGGCACAATCTTGGCTCATTGCAGCCTCTGTCTCCTGGGTTCAAACAATTCTCCTGCCTCAGCTGCCCCAGTAGCTGGGATTATAGGCATGCACCCCCACACCCAGCTAATTTTTGTATTTTCAGTAGAGATTTTCACCATGTTGGCCAGGCTAGTCTCAAACTCCTGACATCAAATGATCCACCCACCTCAGCCTACCAAAGTGCTGGAATTACAGGTGTGAGCCACCAAGCCCAGCCTATATAGACATATTTAAAGATGACAAGAAATTAACAACTCAGCATTTTGAGAGTGGCATGCCAGATCATCATGATTACAACATGGGCACCTGACTGTTGCTCATCTACTACCATATTCTTTGTTCTTCTAGATCCTTCTTGACTTCCATCTTGGCAACTCCAAAGGCATGGTGGGGAAAACAGATGAAGAGATAGATGCCTATTTCTCCTGCAGTCTCTTTCAGCATAGCAATTGGGCAAGTAATCAATAAGAAAGGGGTATATAATCTTTAACTTATAGTCCACATAAGGCCTCACTCAATTTGAAAAATTGCCAGTTCTGTCAAATGTGCTAACACTCCAATAAGGTATTTATGACACAGAATCTGCAAAAAGAAAAAGAAGACATTTAAAGTTAGAATAGTGTTAATTATAACAAAGCAGATTGATATTTGAATAATCAATGAATATTAGTCTAGTTTCTAAATTTAATTCATTAAGTTTACCACATGCAATACACTCATTTTTGGCCAGACGCAATGGATCATCCCTATAATCCCAACACTTTAAGACGCCAAGGCAGGAAGATCACTTGAGCCCAGGAGTTCAAGGCCAGTCTGGGCATAAAAGGGAGACCTCGTCACTACAAAAAATGTTTTAAATTAAAAAATAGCCAGCTGTAGTGCTATACACCTATAGTCCCAGCTGCTCACAAGTCTGAGGCAGAAGGATCACTTGAGCCCAGGAGTTCAAGGTTATAGTGAGCTATAATCATTCCAGGCTGGGTGAAAGAGTGAGACTATGTCTTTAAAACAAAAAACAAACCACTCATTTTTATATTTTCTATTTCTTTCCTTTTTCATTTTTTAATGTTGGTCTCTTCCCATCAAAATTATTTCCCAACCAACTGTTGCACTGTGACCTCCAGTTTGAAAAGCATGAATATAGTGCTTAAAGACACAGTACTGACTTCTTGGATCTAAGAGATAAGAGTTCAAATCGTGATTCTTCCTCTTATAAGCTATCTTGTTTGTCATTTAAACCTATTTTGGCCTCAGTTTCCTTGTGTTAAAATGTGGATTAAAACACCTAACTGGCTGGGCGCAGCAGCTCACGCCTGTAATCCAGCACTTTGGGAGGTCAAAGCGGGTGGATCATGAGGTCAGGAGTTTGAGACCATCCTGGCCAACATGGCGAAACCTCAGCTCTACTAAAAATACAAAGATTAACCAGGCCTGCTGGTGGGCGCCTATAATCCCAGCTATTTGGAAGGCTGAGGCAGAAGAATTGCTTGAACCTGGGAGTGAGCCAAGATCGTGCCACTGCACACCAGCCTGAGCAACAGAGCAAGACTTCATCTCAAAGGAAAAAAAGGAAAAAAAACCACCCAGCTAACCGGGCATGGTGGCTTACGCCTGTAATCCCAGCATTTGGGGAGGCCAAGGCAAGTGGATCGGTTGAGGTCGGAGTTCGAGACCAGCCTGGCCAACATGGTGAAACCTTGTCTCTACTAAAAATACAAGAGTTGGGCCGGGCGCGGTGGCTCAAGCCTGTAACCCCAGCACTTTGGGAGGCCGAGGCGGGTGGATCACGAGGTCAAGAGATGGAGACCATCCTGGTCAACATGGTGAAACCCCGTCTCTACTAAAAATACAAACAATGAGCTGGGCATGGTGGCGCGTGCCTGTAATCCCAGCTACTGAGGAGGCTGAGGCAGGAGAATTGCCTGAACCCAGGAGGCGGAGGTTGCGGTGAGCCGAGATCGTGCCATTGCACTCCAGCCTGGGTAACAAGAGCGAAACTCCGTCCCAAAAAAAAAAAAAAAAAAAAAAATACAAGAGTTAGCAGGGCATGGTGGCAGGTACCTGTAGTCCCAGCTACTCAAGAGGCTGAGGCAGGAGAATCACTCGAACCCAGGAGGCAGAGGTTGCAGTGAGCTGAGATCGCACCACTGCACTCCAGCCTGAGTGACAGAGAGAGACTCCACTTCAAAAAAATAAATAAAAATAGTAGGCCGGGTGCAGTGGCTCACACCTGTAATCCCAGCACTTAAGGAGGCCAAGGCAGGTGGATCACGAGGTCAAGAGATCGAGACTGTCCTGGCCAACATGGTGAAACCCTGTCTCTACTAAAAATACAAAATTAGCCAGGTGTGGTGGCTCATGCTTGTAGTCCCAGCTACTCAGGAGGGTGAGGCACGAGAATCACTTGAACCCAGGAGGCAGAGGTTGCAGTGAACCGAGATCACACCACTACTGATGGAATAAGACTCTGTCTCAAAAAAAAATACCCACAAAAAAACACCTAACTACAGGGTTGCTCCAAAGATTAGAATTTAAGGTCTGTTAAACTCTTAGTACAGTGACAAGATCACAAAACATTTACTGAATGTATATTGTGACTGTATATTTTAATATATTTTAGAAGCCAATTCTCAGTTTATTTCTGATACTTCTTATCAGAAATGACTTTGTAGAGAATAAAACAATGTCTCTATTATTTCTTTCCCAATGAGGATAAAAAAGCCTAGAATATAAAGATGACATCTTAGTTCTATGTTTCTGGCTATATATATATTTTTTTTGGTCTAACATACAACATTCTCTGTTACTCTGATCATTATTTCAAAATTTCACAAACAATTTTGAAAGGTTCAAAGTTACTACAAAATAATAATTCATATTATTACCAAAGGCTGAAGCACACAGCATATAGTGTCCTTCCATTATAAGGCTATTATCTGGAAGGTAAAGACTTCAGTAAACCATAAAGCATAAAATAAAGGCTCTCTATTGTCTTGAATACATTCGAATGTGTTTCTTCAATGTGGACAATACAATCATCATACATTTTTAAAACCATGCAATAAGGAAAAATTACTTAACTAGATTGTTCAAACTAACCTTTATTTTTCCATCAGTATGTGCTGAAGCTACAGATGTTGAAACACGAACCAATCTTGTGGCTGATAAATGAATTTTGAAATGCCTATGGAAATGTGAATAAAGGCAGTCCATGAATAAGTCAACTTCTTCCTGGGTAACCTCCCCAGGTGTTTTGTGGACACTGTCCCATATAGCTTTTGCATCCTCTGGATGTATTGCGTAAGAAATGTCCAGACTTTGAGGGCTACAGGGTACAGACCAAAGAAATTCAGTAGTAGCCACATAATGGTCCATTTTGCATGCAGTCCACATGGCAGCCATCCAGGAAAGATTAAATGCATTGATTGCTAAAGGACTGAAATAACAGTCAAAAGTTTTCTGAAACCAAGTTCCAATTATGGCTGTGTTAGACTCTGCTCCATTTGCAAGGAATAAGGGCAGACAGGTGAAATCTTCTGAAACAGTCTCCAGAAGACTATCTCCAAATATACAGCAGAACCAGCCAGTCCACAGCACTTTACCTTCTCTATTCTCAGATGGTAATTGAGATTTTGACAGAATCTACAAAAGAAACAGGTTCCTTAAATTCAAAAGTATATTTACTTCTAAATTACATCTTCTCAAAATTAGTTCATTAAAAATAAAACAATCCAATGTAATACTTGCAAAAAACATAGAGGATAGTCTCCCCAATGATTAAAAGGGCTTATCAAAATAACTGGCCTTTTTTTTTGAGATGGAGTCTCACTCTGCCACCCAGGCTGTAGTGCAGTGGCACAATCTCGGCTCACTGAAACCTCCACCTCCTGGATTCAAGTGATTTTCCAGTCTCAGCCTCCTGAGTAGCTGGGATTACAGGCATGCACCACCACACCCAGCTAAATTTTCTATTTTCAGTAGAGACAGGGTTTCACTATGTTGGCCAGGCTGATCTTGAACCTCCGACCTCAGGTGATCTGCCTGCCTCGGCCTTCCAAAGTGCTAGGATTACAGGCATGAGCCGCCATGCCCAGCCCCCAATATTCTTAAACAGTGGAAACATGCATGATATAAGATCCTGATGTAACCAAAATGCAAAGTAAGAGCTACCAATATGGTATAACCAGATACAGTACCCTGAAACAAACAAACAAAAACCCTCAACTTTAGAAAGAACTGTAAAAGGTCACAAAATCCAAAGTGTTTGAATTCTTTCATTGAGGAATACTTCAATATTTCCTAAGGCAGGACTATCAACTTAAAATGTTCTTTTATATGTCAGACCCTACAGTTTCTACCCACTGGTCCTGCTTTCTTCCTTTTGGACATGTAGAATATAATCTAATCTAATCTCTCTTCTACAGGAAAAGTCCTTCAAGTATTTGATGGTCCCTATCATATATAGTACTAAGTTCAACATTTCCAGTTTCTTCAACCATTCCGCCTATGACATGCTTTCACATTTTCTCACTATTCTAGTCACTCTTCCCTGAAATTATTTTGCAGAGGAATCATTCGTAAGTGAATATCATTACTTTAAATAGGTCTGATTCAGGGAGGAGGGGAAAAAAGGTCTGAGTGCAAGACCTTTTTTTAAAGGCTAAACCACCACCTTTAACCTAGATTAGACTCCTGTTAATGTAATCGCAGATTGCAGTTTTCTGGTTTTTAGTTGACAGCTTTATATAAACTAACCCTGTATATTGATGTTTGCTGTTATTGGTAAATTTCTCCCAACTTATACTGAGGCAATAAGCTTATTCCTACTAAAATTTTAATCTCTTTTGATTTGGCTCATTGGACAATCCATGCAGATCATTTAGGATCTTTGATTACATTTTTAGCTGACTGTCTAACCTCTCAAACTTTAAATTTTAAGTTACACAACAAATATGCCTTCCAGATACTCACAGAAGTCTGTTAAAGCATTAAGCAAACCAAGGTTAAGATCACAGCTTTGTATAATAGCCCTTCAGATATGATCATTTACACAGTTACTTTTATCATATTTCTCCTTCTTGTTCAAGAAATTATCAAAGACTCCCAAATACCCAGAAGTTTAGATATGTTTATCATACTTTCATGACCTAAGAGTCCTGTAACCCTATCAAGAAATGAGATTTAATTTGAAAACTATTAGAACACTATACCAGGAATTCAAGAGGTCATTTCTAATTCTCATAAGGGTATATGCTTGACTGATGACATGCAAGTCACAAACTTTGTGCATCTACTGCTTCACTTGATAAAAACTGCTAATTGTCTCTCAAGTATTCATTTGTCCTTCCACAATAAAATAGTCCCTTTACAGCTGGGCGAGATGGCTCACGCCTGCAATCCCAGAACTTTGGGAGGCAGAGGCAAGTGGATCACTTGAGCTCAGGAGTTTGAGACGAGCCTGGGCAACACGGTGAAACCCTGTCTCTACAAAAATATAAAAATTAGCCTGTCATGGTAGCACATGCCTGTAGTTCCAGCTACTTGGTGGGGGCTGTGGGGGGGAGGCTGAGGTGGGAGGACTGCTTGTGCCCAGGAGGCAGAGGTTGCAGTGAGCCAGGATAGTGCCACTGCACTCCAACCTGGGTGACAGAGTGAGAACTTGTCTCAAAAAGTCTCTTTACTTAAGTTGGCAGAGTACCCACTGAAAAAAATTCTTTTCTAGCTTCCCTTCCAACTAAGATATAAACAGAAGTTACTGGGTCTCAGCAAGATTTACTCTGCATCAGATTCTGTTTGTCCTTCCCATCTTTCTCCTACTTCCTGCCGGGAACTTGAATATAATGTTTACAGCTGCTGGAGACATCTTATGTTAGACCATAAGGTAACTTTTAGGATGGAAGCCATGCACCAAGGAGAAGAAAGAGCCTAGATTATTAATGATTTCATCAAGCATCATACCAGCCTTGGACAGCTTACCTCTACGAATTTAAAAAAAAGACAGTATACCACTAACTTGTTTAATTCACTCTTATTTAGGCTAAACCTAATCCTAGAACATCTTGAGATCTTTGCCAATACCATGACCTACATCGGGGTCAGCAAATTTTTTCTGCAAAGGGCCAGATAGTAAGCATTTCAGACTTTGCTGGCAATACGGTCTCTGTTGCAACTTCTCAACTCAGCTGTTATAGCACAAAAGCAGCCACAGACAATATATAAGTGAATAAAAGGGGCTATGTTCCAATAAAACCTTATTTACAAAAACAAGCAGCAGGTCAGATTTGGCCTACGGGCCATGGTTTACTGACCCCTAATCTATACAAACAAAAAGTCAGCCCTTTTCAACTGTTTGAGAACTTAATTTCCTTATCCAGTATTAAAATTAGTTAGCTCAAAAGAAACAGAAGCAGCAGGCATGAATAATAAACCAAATAAATCTAAGGCTGAGTGCGGTGGTTTATGCCTGTAATCCCAGCAATTTGGGAGGCCGAGGAGGGTGGATCACTTGAGCCCAGAAGTTTGAGACCAACCTAGGCAACATGGCAAGACCCTGTCTAAAAAAAAATAAAAAATTTACCCGAGTGTAGTGACATGTATCTGTAGTCCCAGCTACTTGGAAGGCTAAGGTGGAAGGATCACTTAAGCCCAGGAGGTTGCAGTAAACCAAGATCGTGCCACTGCACTCCAGCCTGGGTGACAAAGTGAGACCCTGTCTCAAAAAAAAAGAAAGCAATGCAACATTTTATATTCCTTCCTATAAGTAGTATATAAGAGCAACAGAACTATCTTGATTGATGAAGAAGCCAGATTTATTTATTTATTGTATTTTTTGTAGAGATGGGGTCTTGTCATGTTGCCCAGGCTGGTGCTGAACTCCTAGCTCAGGTGATCTGCCCGTCCTGGCCTCCCAAAGTGCTGGTATTACAGGAGTGAGCCACTGCACTGCACCCGGGCCTTAAAATATTACATCCCTGAGAGTAACCCAGCATGAAGTATCACAATATTTAATGATATACTACATATTTTTATACTAAAATTCTACTTCTAGAAATTTAGTCCCAGTAAAAACCATAAAAATATAGAATTCCTAATGATATGAGTAATTGTCTACAATATTAGTAAAAATGTCATAATGCAAAAGTATGGGCAATACAACCCCAATTTCAAGACTATATATACAGATAACCAAACATATATACCAAAATGTTAAACTATAATTTTTAACTTTTTTGTACTTTTATGTATTTCCTGTTTTTAAAAATAAACATGATTTTGTACACAAACTACATATATATGAAAAAAATTTAAGTTGATTAGATCTAATTATTAGTTTAGTCAAACAAGACCCACAATACATTATAAATCACACACTTAAAATTTTTAAAACAGAAAAATGCCACAACAATTTCCAAACAAAGAAAATGCAGATTCTTTTCCCCTAGGAAGCAAGTATTGTTTACATGTTATACCTGGACTAGGAATGCTTCAGGGTCCCTTTGTGTTCCCTTGATTCCTAGGACAGTAGAAAAAATCACTTTGACGTTGAAGTCTTCTCCCACTTCCACAGCAAGCCCTTTTTGCTTTTCAGCAACAATAAAAGCATTCAGAAGTCTAGAATACTCTTTGAGATTACTATAGGAGAATTTATATAAGGGAGTTAAACTATATAAAGTCCACTGTTTATGCAGAAGGAATGCAACCTTTTGAGGGTCAACATCTTCCTAAAAAAAAAAAAAAAAAAAAAAA